TCATTTCCTGTGACCACAATATCATCAACATATACTGCAAGTAGTGTCAGAGAGGACTCCACCCTCTTGATGAACAATGTATGATCTGACTGGGCCTGTACATAACCGAACTTCCCAATGGCTAGTCTGAATCTATCAAACCAAGCTCTACGTGACTGCTTCAAACCATACAATGCCTTATTGAGCTGGCATACCTTCTTACCTGTCTCTGTATCATAAAATCTAGGAGGCAACCGCATGTAAACCTCTACTTGCAGGTCTCCATTCAGAAAAGCATTTTTAACGTCCATTTGGTACAAAGGCCAAGTGTGGCTTGTTGCAAGAGATAATAGAACTCGAATGGTGGTCATCTTGGCTGCCAGGGCAAAGGTCTCCAAGTAATCTATATCATAAGTCTAGGTGAACCCTTTTGCAACTAGCCGAGCTTTGTACTTCTCAATAGAGCCATCCACATTGTGCTTCACAGTAAATACCCATCTGCATCCAACTGGTTTCTTTCCTTTGGGCAGATCAACTAGCTCCCAGGTATTATTTTTTAACAGGGCATCCATTTCAACTTGCATTGCACCTTTCCACTCCGAGACTGATAGGGCGTCTTGCACTGTTCTTGGAATAGGGACATTGGCAACGAAAGTAAGATAGGACCTGTAGGAGGGAGATAGGCGATCATAAGATAAAAACTAGGAAATGCAGTGGGCTGTAGATGTGGTACAATGCTGTTTCCCTTTATGGACGATAATGGGAAGGTCAAGGTCGTCTGCAGGAGGTGAAGTGGCAAAAGTGGAAGGAGTCTCTGTGGGCCCTGGGACTGTAATACCTGGACTTGGAGCCGCAGAAGAGGTTGGAGCTGGCCTGGATTGCTGATGACCGGGATCAACCTGCCTGCATTGCTTGTGATAGACTCTCAACTCCTGATCCCTCTGACCACCCTCACTATTGCAGCCCTCATCACCCAATGGAATAGGTAAGGGAACAACCCCAAAAGTATTAACCCTACCCTCACTGCGCTCCCCTTGAAGAAAAGGACTCAAATCCCCACTCTCACTGCTCTCCCCTTGAGGAGAAACCCAAGAATAATAGGGTGTCTCCTCAAAGAAAGTGACATCTATGGAGACAAACTTCTTCCCTGAGACAGGATCATAGTAGCAATAACCCTTTTGAGTTTGTGCATAACCAAGAAAGATGCATTTGGAGGCCTTTGGGTCGAATTTGGAGTGATGGGATCCGAGAAGCTGAACAAAACAGGTACAACCAAATGTTTTAAGGGGAACAGTAAGCAACTCCTCATTTGGGTATAGAAGGGAAAAAGGAGATTTCATATCAAGAACCCGGGAAGGGACCCAATTAATAAGATATACCGCCGTGAGGATAGCATCACCCCAGAAGCAAATAGGGACATTGGAGGTAAACATAATACTTCTAGCCACCTCCAAGATGTGCCYATTCTTCCTTTCTGCAACCCCATTCTGCTGAGGTGTATGAGGGCAAGTGCTCTGGTGGATAACCCCATGATTAAGAAGGTAAGATGCCAATGGCTTAGCAAAGTATTCCTTTGCATTATTAGATCTAAGAACTTTGAACTTGGCATCAAACTGGGTTAGGATCATTTGGTGGAAGTTTTGGATCAGGGCGGGAACCTCATCTTGTGAACGCATAAGATAAACCCAAGAAAACCGAGCATGGTCATCAACAAATAACAAAAAATATCTGTACTCACCCATAGAAGGGATGCGATATGGCCCCCAAACATCAATATGCACAATATCAAAAGAACTATTACTCCTTTTATTACTCAATGAATAATTTCTACAATGTTTAGCAAACTCACAACTTTCACATTTCAACCGGGACAACTCAACAGACTCAAACAAAGTAGGAAACAGACTCTTTAAGGATCGAAAAGACAAATGACCCAAT